TGACATCCTTAGTTTCATTGATCTTACTCTGCAATACCAACTTGTGCAGTTTCTCTTCGTGACTCTCCATCTCACTGTATTGCTTAACCTGTGCAACAGTCACGTTTTCCTTGTGCCCAAGAGAAATAACCTCATCGAAAGCAAAAATCAAATCAAAAGCTGTTTTGCAGATTCCCTCTTCATCCATAGAGAGTGAATATTCAGGTACCTAGAATCACTTAAGGACTCCAGCATAACTCCATTCTCATCATTTTTGACAAAAACATTTGTAAAGAACTATCTTACTAGGAACATGCATTAATAAATACATAAAGGGACTCTGCATATCCCCTTATCACATGAATATGCAAATAAAACTCTCCAACATATACATGTAGAAGGGTATAACCATACCATGTTTGGGGGCACAACTATTATCAGTCATTTGGAAAATATTCTTATAAGAAAAATAAGAAAAACAATGACCTTACCAGAAAAGGCTTGATTTTAGACTGTATAAAATTTTATTTTCCTTCGCAGTCTATCAAGTCAATAAGTAAAAGAGTTAATCTTTTCATATACATCAACAAGAAGGATTTAATGAATGCCCACTTTGTTTTAGCATATATGCAAAGTTTGCTAGTTCCCTTGAAATTACCACCTAATTCAAAGTCGAAGAACACCAGAAAATTTATGGAATAAAAGACAGTTAGAATCACGAATGGAAGCCAACAGACCCAAACTCAATACAAGATCAGCATAAACAGCATCAGAAATAGCTATAAGCCATCTTAAAAAAGGATACAAGCTTAGAAAGGAGCCTTAAGGTGTCCAAATCTTCAAGGATGTTGCTCTGTTTATTAGTTACAAGAAGCAAGTATAAAGCTTCTATTGGCTGGTAAACATAGCGAACATTTTCTGTCTCCACATATGTATGCTGTTTTCCAGTTCCAACCAACTTAGGAAAAGCAGCAAGAAGGCCCTCAATTCTGATTCTAGACATATCGACAAATTGTCTAGAAACAAGAACTGCAAAAAGAATATTTAAGAAAAGATAGCCTTGTAAGTAGTAGCTAAGATTGATCGTAGACTTAAAAAGAAAAATCGAGGGAGACAAAGTGTGTGTTTGTGTGCATGAGAGAGAGGCTAATGAGTATAAAGTGTAAAAAGTAAACGATGCGAACGAGAAAGTTCAAAAATATTGTTGTACAATGGGTAAAGGAAATATCTAACCTTTCCCAGACTTGCTAACAATGGATGCAGCAAGAACAACCTGTGCAATATATAAGGCTCATCAAAAGAAAATAAAGGGGCAGGAAGCAAAGATAAATTCATGAAAACCAATTGAAAGTCAAAAGTATGCCACCAGAAAAAATTAAAACAAGAAACAATGCAATCCCCAGCTAGTAACAAGCTTATAAGAAGAGAAATCACAAATGAACTTCACAAGCAAGATGCTCATGTTAATTCCTATCAAAATTCCTGAAGTAATTATAGGGTGAATATCAGATTCAGTGACGCCAGATAAATTATAAATGTATCACGATCCATTAATATTGAACACTCCCAAATTTTCTGAATAGCACAGTAAAAGTAAGAAACAATCCGGCATCTTGATTCTTTCCATAACATTATATCCAAACAAAAGTTCACAAGATAGCGTAGCTGAATCCACTCCCTCAACGTTCATAAACTCCAACAGGCTAGAAACGGAAAAGCACTTGGAAAGGAATTAAAGGGAAGGCAATTCAAAAAAAAAAAAATACTGTGGATAATTTCGTATAAATTTTACATAAGAATGCGGATAAAAAGAGACAACAAATGGTTCAATAACATAAATAAATGTCTTTACCATTTTTTTAATGAGAATGCAAACCAACAACCACCGACTTCAGATAGGAGAGATTTTGTCTTCCGCACCTAGGAATTAAATTTTGTTAGTCATACACACTTTGGAAATCTATAAAAAAAAAAAAAAAAAAAAAAAAA